CTAGCACATACGTAATTAATTTTTAAGAGCAAGTTTAATTAACTGGTTTTATTGAAGTTAAAAATTAGCGAAAAGATCTGTGCGGTATTCATACTCGAGCTTCAATCTCCCACATAGTTAACAATTAGGGTCACTGCTAATTACAACTACTTGAAACCGAAAACTTATTTTAGAAAACATGTCCTGAACACAGTGGGAGTTACTGAAGAGTCATTGTTGAATAAAGTCTAAAAATGCATGCCATTTCTTTGATAGCATGCCATGGATCTGAAAAGCAGTGTCTGAGAGTATAGGAAAACAGTGTCTGAGAGTATAGGAAGTTGATTTCACTGTCCAAAGACGCTCACAATCTTAAGGAAGGAAGGCAAATAAAGCCAGAGGGGATTTTAATGGGCAATTGAAAGCTAGAGTTTTTGTTACTTTCTTATTGGTTTAAAAATTATCAACTAGGAAATTGATTATCCTGGAAGAAGGTAGAAAGATGAGAACATGGTAAGAAAAGATGGGAATGTCTAATATAAAGTCCTGGATAATTCTACAATGCAGTGCTGCAAAGTAGACTACAGGATGGGTATGATAAAATCAGCACTGAAGCATGAGCATAAACAGAACTATACAGAAAAAGGAAGACATAAAACCTCAACTCTGATTATCAAAGATGGGTCTGAGACAAATTTTCTTATTACCAAAAAGAGGAAAAGAAAAAAAAAAAAAGGAAAGAAAAAAAGAAGAAAAATTCAGCAAGTTTAAACATACACAATAATCCAGTAAGAATAAAATAACCTGGTATAAATACAACACAGAGAAATCTGAGTGAGAAATAGGACTCCCCATAGGACTTTAGGAATCCACATTAAAAAGGTAAAACTCAAAGGAGATGATTTTGTCCAAAGACACATATCTAGCAAACTTTTCAAATGACTGAAATAGCTCTCAACACAGCTGCAACTTTAAAATTGAGGCAGATACAGAAAACCTGATCTAGCAAAATGAGTTACACACTTGAAAAATTCCAACTGACAAGCTATCAGGATGGAGAGGAAGAAAACCTAAGTTCCATGCCTTCCTCTCAAATTTAAATTAATTTGTTAAATTTTAAGAAATCTGTCTACTGAAGTGTTTTATACATAACACATAAGAAACAATATCTTATAACTGCTTCTGTTAATTACTATTTCTCAAAATTCATTACTTTTTCCTAGTAATTTTAACCATACTCTTGACAAAACTACATCTCTTGCACAGTACTGTATAGCACTGATTGGAAAACAATAGACTTTAACCTTGATTTAACAAGACTTTCAACAGTGTCTCCCACAACATTCTCACAGACAAACTGATACAGTATGGACTGTGTAAACAGACAGTGCGGTGGACTGCACTGAAAATTGGCTGAGCTGCAGGGATCACAGGTTTGTAACCACTCACATGAAATTTAACTGGAGATCAGTCACTGGTAGTGCACTCCAGGGGTTGATACTGTTTAACAACTCCATTGATGACCTGGATGATGGGACTGAGTGCACACCCAGTGAGTTTGCAGACAATAAGAAAACTGGGAGGAACGGCTGATACACCAGATGGACATGCTGCCATTCAGAAGACACTGACAGGCTGCAAAAATGGGCCAACGAGAACTTTTCCCTTTCAACAAAGGGAAATGCAAAGTCCTGCATTCGAGGACCGATAATCCCATGCACCAGTGCAGGATGAAATACACAAAATACCATTTAAGCTGAATACAGAGATTCAGCACCTTTCCCAAGCACAGACTGTTCATGTGACATCCAATCACAGTATCATCAAAGTGGAAAGGCTCCTATGGAAACTATGTAGCACAACCTGTGCGCTTACAGCTGGTTTAGCTAGAGCAAAGTGTTCAGGACCATACCTAGTTGGGTTTGAATACCTCTAAGAATGCTTCAGAGCAGGCGACAGGTTTGTCAAGACCATATGTATCAGAAGTCTCACAATCACAGGCCACAACTCTCATGGGGGTTTTTAACCACCTCAGTACAGTACCTCCTCATGAGACAAAAACACAGACTAAAAGCAATTCAGACTTCTGGAGTGTACCAAGGACTTTTTGACGCAAAGGCTAGACAAGCAGACTAGGGGGCTGCACCCCCGAGCATGATAATAACGAGTAAGACAGAACTGGTTGGAGACAAAAGCAGTCCTGCCTTAGTGACTATGTGATAACTGATCTCCAGAGAAGTCAGGAAGATAAATAGCAGAACAATGACTGGGCTATCATGAAAGCCTACATAGATCCGAAAGTATGCACTTGAAAAGCCAAGACATACTGTATGTTTGAGAGGATATATATAGGGATGCTGGGGATGGACTCTTCATTAGGGACTGTAGTGGCAGGACAAGGGGTAATGGGTTAAAACTTAAACAGGGGAAGTTTAGATTGGATATAAGGAGGAAATTCTTTCCTGTTAGGGTGGTGAGGCACTGGAATAAGTTGTCCAGGCAGGTTGTGAATGCTTCATCCCTGGCAGTGTTCAAGGCCAGGTTGGACAAGGCCTTGGGTAATATGGTTTAGAGTGAGGTGTCCCTGCCCATGGCAGGGGGGTTGGAACTTGATGATCTTAAGGTCCTTTCCAACCCTAACTATTCTATGATTCTAACTGTTAAAATGAACAGGCATGTTTAAAAAAGCATAGTAGTGAATATTACTTTTATTTGAAATATGAAATTACAGCAATTTCTGCAAATGTATCTGGATACAAAAAGATTTATAAGTCAGGAAAGATCTGCCATATTACTGCTACTGCCCATAAATTACAAAGGTCAATACCCCACTTTTCCACCATTTCCTACCTAATACAAGACCTAAATTCTCAAATTATCTTTTTAAAAGAAAGTGATGCATGTATCCACACGACTACACTATCCATGTAAGACATCAGCTAAAGGCTTGTCAAGTTAATACAGCATGCACATACACCAGTTACATGCTTAAAAAGATTGCTAACAGCGATTTACACATGCTGCCTGTAGGGACTTCACTCTAACGGAATTCTGCATTTTGCTTTAAAGAAGCACTACATACACAGAAAAAGGTGACAGGAAAGTGTGAGAATGAGAAGACTGAGTAACTGCCAACATAACCCTCACGAATACATAACCATCTGCTGGAAAAAAATGAAGGATCTCTGTATTACAGGCAGTTAACACTGTAACATCTCAATACTGTAGGTACAGAAAAGCATATATATCATGTATAAGAAACTAACACAGAAAAGAAAGGTTTTGTGCTTCACAGTCCATAAATGAATAGATTTGCCTAAGTACAGATTTTCTATCATTCAAAAGTAAAATTAAACTGGCAGTTAGGAGCTATGAACACAAGCACCTATCTTTATAACTTTTATAACCAACAAGGAAAGATGAAATAGATGAGTAAATCTTACTTGTATGTTTCATTGAAAACAATCACTCGAGAACAACTTGGAAGGCCACAAAGTGATAGAGAAGTAATTTAGGATCTTAAAAGATCTTCTTACAGAAAAATCTGTTTCAGTTATAGTCCACTAACATTTTCTGGTCTTTTTTCCCCCCTAAAAATCTTCCTTTTCTCATTGCTTTCATTGACTGTTGAAAGACCTTTAAAACTACTTTGCTTGCATAAGTAATATCCTGTACTTGTGGATCATGTCAAAGTATTAGTCAGTTTTGGAAATGACTACATTGGGAGTGCATGTGAATAGCTGTAAAATATTTCTACATTTGTTCATGCTGTCTAGGAAGACTCTATCAACACACTTTTCTGTCCTTCCGCATAAAGTAAAATTCAAGACAATAAAATGCACTGGTTTGAGCAATATTAAGTATAGCTATTTAAACCAACTTAAAATATTTGTTAACGTTCTTCTAAGGGTTAGTCCACTTACTTTAAATATTCACAGTATGTAGGACAGCATATGTATTCTACTGTTTCTTTAAGATTTATACACTTTGGAAATTATAAGCATCTGTTGTGTGACAGGTGATTACTATGGTTCTAAGCTTTTATATTAAGGTAGAAAATGGAAAACCAGAAGTTAATTGGTGTATGACCATTTGCACTGTGAATTAGTGACTAAGAGCAATTCTGAGAGTAGTGGTCAATTCCTTTCCCCTGATCCTCAGAAAGAGTAATCATAACTTGATTTGTAAAGAAAATTATCTGCCTTTAGGAGATAATTCTATATAATTATAGAGACTATTTCTATCTTTACTATCTGCATGTTAAATCTCAGACTATTCCTATCTCTACTATCTATCTACATTTCAAAACTCTATTACCTAGTTTTTTGTTTATTATACATTCCACCATCCCCCTGCACTTGTTTTCACACCTCTCAAGGATACAAAACAAAAACAACTTCAGAACCAAGGTTTCCATTTTCTGTCTTATTTTACAGATGTCCCCCGAAAAGAGAAAAAGGCATTCAATTATCAATTTTATTAATAAATATTATGATTAGCAATGCATCAAGCATTATTAGAAAGGTATCACAAAAATGCATAATTTTATTGTTTGCCCTTTTTCTCAAAATCTTTGAATACAAAATGTCTTTAGAAACAACCCCCTACAAATAGATTAAACACAACTGCAAATAGGCTACTGAGCATTATGGGTCTTATGTAAACTGCTTTCTTATGCCAGTACATATGATTTTAAAAATACGATTTTATTGTCTTCCTATGTCTGCATTTAGAATACTTTAGCGAATATTAAAATATCAAAGTATTAAATTAAGAAAAGCTGGCAATCTCATACTTTTCTAGGAACTTACAGTGCTAATAAATAAGTGTACAGCTTAAAGGAAAAAAAAAGGCCATTACAAGGGAACAATATTGGACCTTATCACACTACACTATGAACAGCATCACATATAAAAACCAGAACACTCCCTTAAAGAGAGCAAAACTTACAAAGGCAGAAAAAATCCTCAAGGAAGTTATTACCCATTCTCTACAGAAAGTGAAGAAACAAATAAACTTACCACTTTTAGTAGTGAAAGAATACAGAGGATTCAGTGGAGTGCTCAGAGTGCCAGGCAGTCTTAGCTTGGAGTGTGGTGACAGTGATGATGGCGCAGGAAGTGAGAGATTTGTGCTCGCCTGTAATAGGAAAGACAAATCAGAAAGTGAAGTGTAATTTCCTGGGTTACTTACTGATGCAACAGCTAGAAGAGAAATATTTGCTTACTGTAAGTAACTATTAAATTCCAATTTCAATTATGGAGTCTTTTGTTTGTTTGTATGTTTCCTTTTTTATTTTTAGAATATTTGGAGACACCACTTGGTAAAATTACTGATACAGCTATAAACTGGTTTAGATATTTACATATGGACACACTCTCAAACAGTGCAAACAATGCAACAGAACTGTTTGAACTCAATCCCATTGCATCTTCCTGCATAAAACTATATATTTATGTATGGTTATAAACAAATAAATGTAACTTCATTTTCGCACACTGAAAGTACACTACATCTACGAAGATATTACTCAGACTCAGAATGAGAGGGAAAAAAACATAATTTTAAACCAGTCCTAACACAAAGCTGATTTCTGCAAATCTATAAAGCATATTTAGACCAAAATACCAGACACTTCCTTTATGCAACCTACAGAAAAAACATCTGCTATCCTAATTTCCATAGCAAAAAAGATAATGCAGTTAAAAAATGTGGTTTGATATGGAGTTTCTTGATATACATGGAGCTATCATGAATCAGAAACCTTTCCAAAACTTTACTCTTGACATATTACCCACTACACCCCATGTAAAAACCTACAATCTTAGGGTTTTTTCTTAATCCAATTGAGAATTTTACTGTTTGTTAAACGTGTTTTCACTGCTTCAGTAACACAGCCAGAGGGAAAATAGGCCTTAGATAAAATATTTAAGCAACTATTCAAGCAAAACAGATTCAGATGCTCAAATTTTTGAGAGTTATTTACATAAAACAACATAATTCTTGACGATTTCAGGAGTCAAGCCAAGAATTCAACCTAGAATAAATGCATATGGTCACTAAATACAACTAAAAGCCCACAATCAGTGGAGCATTTCCTTTGGCCTCAGTAAACTCCAGATCAGGCCCTTCAATTTTAGCTGTGGGCCAAAACAGAACACTGACATTTTGCAAATTTTCAATCTACTGGCTCATAAACTCTATTTAAAGAAACAAAGCAGCTAAACCAAAGTAAATCCATGGATTATTTCCAGAAGTCATATAATTTCTATATACTACCACTTCTATCATTTAATAAATATCAAGCAATTCAACAGGTTTCAATAACGCATCCTATTTGGCCATTGGCAGGTGTATTGAGATGCTGGTAATACAGCACTAAAACTGTGTTGAGTAACTTGACTGGGCCATAGAGGGTATCTGCTATCTCGTCTGTATTACTACATCAGACCTTCATCTTAATGTATCTGTTCTTTGTGCAGTAATATAGATTTAATTTTACTGAAAGAAGTTAAAGTAAAAGCTGTCTTTTGTTAATTAAGTACTCCCTCAGCAGCTGTATGCAATTGTAACAACTATACTCCAAAACTGACCAGAGATAAAAGCAAGATAGAAAATGAGACCATTGAACATGATTAAAAACAAAAAATAAACCAGATAGATTTTACTGAAGTGTACAGATTTAACAGAATGTTAGTAAACAGTAGTTGTGAAATGTAAGCAGAAGAGGCCTGTTTTTCTGAACAGCAAAATAAATCTGGTTTTCTTACATTTACATATGCAAGTGACTAAGATGCGATAATATGTTTTCTCTGATCCATAAAAATACAGTGTAAAGTCATTCGTTTATACGTTTACTCAAAGACAAAAATAATCTGTTCTGCAAACCAGTCAAGCTCAGCTTTCCAGTCTCATCTTCTCTTACATACTGCTAGTTCTAGGGAGAGCCCTTCTGCAGTAAGACAGATGAGAAGATCTCCCCCTTGCATGAATTTCTTACTGAGTGCACACTATACCACCAATGGTACAAACGTATGTTTTCCAGTGAAGTATACTCATGGAATTATCTTTCAAATTTGCTATTAAAAAGTTGGTTTCAGACCCTGCCAGGGAACGAGGACAGGCTGAATTTATCAGACGCTGGAAATCAAACCAAACACAGCAGAGCAAGCGATTCAGAACTAGCACTTTCACAGACACTTCCCTGGTTCAACCTGGAGGGAAAAACAAATTACAGGAGAAATTTCTTGATTGTGGTGCTTGAATGAATAAGAGATGTGGAATTCTGTATATAAATTATTCCTGTACAGTATGTAATTCACTTCTCTTTATTTATCTGCTGTATTACCCAAATACTCCCATTATGAATTCCAAATAGCATTCTTTGAAATGAACACGTACATTAGAAGACTGAATGCATGGTCCTGAACATTTAAGAAAGTCAGCCTTTTTAAAATGGAAAATATGTTCTATCTCACAGCCCTTCTTCTCCAAGTCCTTAGAAACAAGATAAAAAAAACATTTTAATATCCCTTTTTAACAAAAATGGAAGTTTAAAATTTAAGCAGTCTAATAGGAGTGATTAATTCCTGCGCTTAATGGCAGTGAAGATTAGCGCAGATGAGCTGTACAAGACTGCCCATCTAAAGTAAACACAAAATCAGAGTTTTAATGACCTTTCTGAAACCAGCTCTTACATATCAGTTAAATTTCTAAAAGGCTCAAAGTGGAAAAGAACCCGCGGCATTATAGCACAAGAAGGATCAGCTCAGCTAATAAGTAAGGACTAATGATTCAGCAGAACTGTTTCCACTTCAAGTACACTGTCCTATGAAGAATAATTAATTCTCCTGCAACAGACGGACATAAGACTACCTACAGAACACAATGAAGCAATCATTTCTTTTTGAAATGCATGCTGTGGGAAGGCATTGCTAAATACCTTTACAACGAGTGAAGTTGGCTAAGATAGGCAACCATCAATCCACTTATTTTTCACAACAGGCTCTGCTTGCTTCATACACAAACCACAGCTTTTATCAAAGACACAGTCTACTACTATCCTGAATTGAGTAAAACTCAGTTATAACATTCATGTAGCTTTTGTAGAAAAAGAATGCCTACATAATGTTTGTCAAGTTTAAACAAAGCTGATTTGCATTTTCTTTTTGTTAGGGCAGCTCTGTGCAAATTATGTAAATTTTCAGTGGAACTAGTTTTCACATTAAAAGTGAATTGCTTTCACACAGAACACTGAAAGACTTGACAAGCTGACAATAACAATTTCTCTCTTTTTCCAGAGAATGCAATTTTATAACCTTTGCAATCAATATAATCAGCATTTCCATATATACTTGCAAGCCAAATCAAGTTGGCCAGCTCTATACTACCTCTTATGGTTTTAGTTTTAGGCTTCCCTTTTGAAACTTTAGATCTCTAGGACACTGCTTTTAAAGACAGTTTAAAAATATTATTAAACCATGACTGCCGAATTTAAAAGTTGAAAACTGAATTTGAAATAGAAACAAATCAGAAATCACAAAATGCTTATACCTTACAGATGCAACCCCATCTGGAGTCTCTCACAGTACCTACTCTTGTAATCAATTCTGGCACAGTATTATATACACTCAAAGAACAACAACAAAAAAATCTGAAACACGTGCAAGTATTTCCATGTATAGGAAAGAATTCTTTCACATTCTACTTGTCTAATATCATACTTAAAACCCTGTGAGTATCAGAATTTTGGTAACCACTTTGATAAACATTTAATAACAATTTCTAGAAATACATCATGAAGTAAAGAATGGAAAAGACAATCAGACTTTCAATAATTTGCAAATATTTAGATATGAAGAGATGAGGCAGCCAACATATAATTAATTCTAGGACTAGTACTACAGAGAATGTACATATGCTTAAGTGCTTAAGTGCTACAAAGGTGCTTTTCCCCTTCAAATTATAGCATGAATATCTTGACACCTAAACCCCACAATTTCAGAGCTAGGGTATTATACCTTCAAAGGAAGACCTTCTCCCTACACCTACATACATCACCTCCTTGTTATACAAAGTTATAAACAGGTATTCTGATTGCTAGATGGAGGAGAAAGTTTAAATACATAAATAGGAACACTGAATGAAAAGCACTTATGAGTTCTTTCAGTGACTAGAGATGGGTTAAGTGCTTTGCTATCATAAACTTCTGTGAATAGAAACATACACTAGCATTACTTCCCTGAGACAGAATCAAGTAGTAATTGCTGCCAAGCTTCACTATACCCTAATTTCTCTGTGTGGTAAAGAAGCCGATTATACATTCTGGTTTGTGAATTGCTAAAGCTTTAACCCAATATTCAACTTTTGGCTCTAATTACACATTTTCTGGGCTAGCAAGAATGGCAATGTTGCAAAGGAGAAATAAGAAAACTTCGTCTATGATTCATTAAGGTTCCTGTTTAGGTAGTAAAGAAGAAAAAGAAAAAAGTAAGAAAAACACTGGTTAGAAAGGGACCTGGAAAGAGGCACTTGTCACAACAAAACCCCCTGCACTTATCAGAATATTCTCTATTTCTAATTAGCTTAAACCAAATTTTAATATAATAACATTACATTTTCAAATTACAAATCTAAGCTGTAGACCTCCAAACTTTGCACTTACAAGTTAACTTTATATCCATTAGTTATGGCTGGGAAGTTTACACACACTGAACCCAGAAACCCCTATGTTAATAGATCTGCTGTTGGGAGATTCCAGCACCTCTGTCTCGTAAGACATGACCCTAGGTATAATCTCAGGCCAGGTTTACTGTCTACAAGGTATGCTGCCTATACAGTTGTCCCAAAGTGGTAACCCCTACATGTCTGTAACAAAGCACTGGCAGGCAAACATGACCCAAAGACCAGTACAATGCCTACATAGTTTCCAGTTCTCTTACTTTTCACATCAGACAAATATGTACAAGATAACACCTGCATTCTCATTTGGCTTTTCATATTCCAACTTGCTACCCTACATGTGGCTTTATTAAAGGCTCCTTTCTCTGTTTTCACTTGTCTGTACCCAGATTTATTAACACATTCTCATGTACATGGCTGGGTGGCAATCTGTCCAATTCCTACTTCAACAAACAGTTTTGTAAATCATTTATGTGAGTATACATTCTAACAAGCCTTCCAGTAAAGCCTACACTTACATATATGCATAATTTTTCACATGAAAGAGTTGCACAGATGTAAATGCATACACAGACAAACCTGTGATTCCCAATGACAAATTAATACAAATTTTAAGATTTAGTGTTGATGTAACACTAAACACTCTGGGGATGTCCAGAATCTGATAATGCAGGCAGGCAATACTGCGCCCACATGCAAGAAATTATTTGATCTCTGCTTGGAAAGGAGGTATCAGTGTCCCCCAATTTTCATGTTGGATCACTAAAAAGATGAGTATCGAGAGCCTTTCAAAGAAAAGAAATCTCCCAATTTCTCAGTGGTTCATAAAGCCCTGAAAGCCAGTACTCATCACTCCTATGTTACAGACATCAGACTGAATGTGCACTCTTTTAACCACCATCCTGTACTGTTCGGAAACCCACACGGTGAGAAGACTCACATGATCTTTCTGACATCTTCCGTATATGTATTAATCCATGGGTAGAGAATTTGGAGGATGTGCTGCCCGAACCCTTGAGAGTAAGAAAATTCCAATGGCTGAAAGTTATTCTCTCATACACAGTTTGTTAGGCTTATCACAAGCCTAACAGTTGTAGGCGTACCTATTTCATCTAGCTACATGGTTCCATGGAACCATGTTAAATCTGAACTGCTGGCTAATCAGGGACTGAACAGTTACAGTGATAAATACACCCATAAATTCATTATTCCTGATTTCTTCCTGTCATGGTTGTCAGACAACAAGACATCCAGAAGAGTAAAAATAATGTCTTCTGGAATGTCTTCCTTGAGTACATGCTCCATTGAGGTTACATGCTCCAGTCTCTCCATATTGTGTCTGACTAATGAAAAACTTAAAACCCTAAAGCATGACAGTAGCCACAGCATCCTCAGCAATAACTGCTTTCATCTACTCATCTGCTTCTTTAATTAAATTTATTGCCAATTCCAGAAGTTTTTATTACCAATTCAGGTATTAAGAAACAATACAAACAGTGAAACAAATACCCTTCCCAAACACTTCTCCTCCCTGTCAGTCTCAACTTTGCTTCAGCCACTTTTCTCCTCTCCTTTCTAGTCCCTAGTCTCCTTGCTTTTGCTGTCATGTTACACTCAATCCCTTTAGTAGGGCAAAGGGTGGTGCAGGTTAGTGCATAGTGGCTTGACCTTTTTGCTTCTCCTTGTTTCTTACTCCTTTCAACTGCTTTAGTGCAGGTCCTCTGAAATCACCCTGGGGATGGATTCCTCCATGGGTTGCAGTAACTTCAGTACCCAGGAGTAATCAAACAGGAGGCTGCAGTACTTTCTCCTGTGATTTCTTTTGTGTGTCCGTACACATGTCCTGTCTTTCCCTTCATGCCTACTTTGTTACCTCCCTGTAACTCCATCTGTGCACCACTTTGTGTCTCCTGCACTCTCATACCTCCTTCTGTGTCTTTTGTGCCTCCTCACATCCCTCCTCCTGTGTCTTCACTTTTGCCTTCTGGCATGTTTTCCTTTGCGTTTCTTTCTCTGCTCTGGTGTCTCCTATCCCTAACAGCTACTGACCTTTCTTAAACACATTTTCACAGAGGTTTCATATGCTTTCCTGTTTGGTTTCAATTTCGTTTGTGCAGTGGATCCATACTGTCCTTCCTGGAGCTGGCTGGAAACACCTGTGCTCAGCACAGGGCAGTCCATGATGTCCTCCCCTACACGTCAGCCCTGAAGCCGTACACACACACCCCACCACCTCCTACTGTGAAACCCCCGCCATTTATGCCGCATACAATTGTAAAGGTGAATAATGGAAAAAAAAAAAAAAAAAAAAAAAAAGGCAAAAACCCAAAAATAATTTCCTAAAGCTCAGCCATAATGACCTATGGAGTAACTCCTAAATTGTAATTGTATGTATGGTAGTAGTCATTGACCAAAAAAAAAAAAATAAATCCCTTTTCATCAAATATTTAATAAACAAAAATAACGTTTATATGATTAATTTCTTCTAGAGAGCTACTTACAGGTGCATTAATATTAGTGAGAGATATATTAATTTCTGAAGAACAGATAGTAAGACAACATATACATGTTTTGCTACATATACCAGTTCAGAATAATAATTTTGGCTGAGAAGACCATATACTTCCAGGAATAAATTAAATTTGACTTACCGTAACAGAATCAAGTTTTTGTTTCACCTTCTGCATTCTCATTGATGCTCTTGCAACACTGACAAACTGATCTGCTGGAGACATCACCAAACTTTTTTCTACAGGAATTTCAGAAAAACTGTTTAAGAACTGCGGCCCTCCTGGTGCAGCTGTGGTAAGTGATGAACTGAGATCTTTTATGAGTTCAGCTTCCTGTTGTGCAACTGTAGAAATAACCAATATCTACGTGTCAGGTGAAACTTTATGTTGCCATGGGACAAAACCCCCATAATTGAATGATGGTTGTCATTTTGCCAGCCATGTCTTCAGTTGAACACCATCAGAACCTGTACTACTAGTGCTATACAGAAAACCTGAAACAGAAATTTTCCCCATACTACCCATTTTCCCCTGGCTCTTCCTGATCACGTCTCTTAAAAGGGGCTTTTAAATATTTATGACACTGCCTATATATGATAAAAAAAATCGCACAGGATGACATACAATAACAATTTTAAACTTGAGATTGCAAGGGACCACTGGTGATTGGCAAGGCCAAAGCCCCTGCTCAAACTAGAGTCACATAGAGCAGGTTGTTCAGGGTTCATGGTCAAGTTTGGTTTTGTTAGCTCCCAGGATAAAGATATCCATTACCATCACATTACTGTTTTCTTTTTCCTCCAAAAGAAGTACAAATACTAGCAAATCACTTCTAAAAATAAAATATTTACAGGTATATATATAAAAAAAATTGTACTGTACCTTTATAATCATGGATGTATACAAGTATTGGCTGGTTTTGACCAAATGCACAAAATGATACCATGTGCTCATGTGGATGAAAAGCAACATCACGAAGTGGAGATGTGAAGGAAAGTTCAGAATATATGGCCACCTGATCTCCTACAGAAGTGAAATATGCTTATTAATACCATGGAAGCATATTGACGCAGCAAAATAGCAGTCGGTTAAGGCTTGTATTACTACAGTGCCCTGACTGCCACTGTAAATAAATACTCCTAAGTAAACTTCCTTATTGAAAAGTAGTGTTTGGTATAAGAGGAAAAATTATCACATGCTTTTAAGTTACTGAGTAAGTCAGAAAAGTTGGTGATGTGGCAACAGCTGCAGGAAACCATAGAGGATGCACCAGGTTAACTGAGTTCTCTTGTTCTGATAAGCAAGTTCTGGAAAGGTGGCGTTCCACAGTATTTGTTTGTGCTTGCATTTTGCCCTAGATAGGTATCTTGGTTGTGGATTTTGACTATATAATGCTGACGATAGGAATGAAAGTTGAGGACAAAATTACCAGAAAAATAAAGTTAGCTCTTCAGTTGATGGCATTATAGATGCAAATACAGTGTGTAAGCAAGAGTCAAAGCCCAGTAAAAACATACTAATAACGAAGTTTGTCCTTCCCACTTTTATTCTTTAAGTTTTCAGACAAATTATTTAGCTTCACAGATGTAAGCCAATATTGTTGGAAATGTGGAAAGAAATTAAAAACAGAACTGTTGGTTAACTGCCAGTTGGAAAATATTTACTTTTTCATTTTAAAAAATTATTTAGATCATAATGGGAGACAATAACATGTCATCAAAAAAGTGTATTCTGCTGCCTTTTACTATTTGTCCCTTTCACCTCACTGCACAATGAAAACGACAAACTCTTAATCCTACATCTGCTTAATATTTTTCCAGAAAGATCTTGATACCTATTTTGAAACTACTTAACTGGGGAATAATAGACAAAGAAAACTTATATTCCAAAGACCAAAAATATTCATAGTCTCTGACCACTCTTGGGAAACAGATGAAATGGTTCTCAACAAAAGCCTAATTCCCAAATCCAATAAAGCACAGCACAAAGACTGATTTGACGTTTTTGTGCATTCTGTTTTAAGATACTCATCCACATGTAAAGAATTGCAGTATTTTAATTCCCTCTAGAGAATTAAAATTTAGAGATTAGTAATATCTACTCACAAGGTGGAGCTAAGGCTCTAGGATTCAAGAACATATTAGGGAAGTTTTATTCCATATCAAAAGTGTTTCAATGAAGCTTACAAACCCTTTGTCCCCGACATCCTGACTTTAGACCATAAAATAATGTTACCTGTTTCTGGATTCCAAACATAAGCCTTTCCATCTTCACTTCCAGAAAATAGGAATGTACCACATGGTGTTAAGGTGCTGTGAATCTTTTCTCTGTAATTTGTGGCACCTATGAATTTCTTTGTAGCCAAGCTATGAAATGAAGAATAGTTTGCAAATGTAGCAAATACTTTCAGAACAGACAATATAACTTCTTACATGTCAGTCTGCCCATCTATTCCTCAGAAAAATGAATACAGCTTACATCCCAAACAGATACACAAGCACCCACATTTGCAGATTGCAGTGTTTACCTTTTCTTTTCCTGGCTTTCATAATCCATCTGAAATTATAGATGAAAGTGTACATCCTTCCCTTTCAGCAGAAAACAGATCTAGAGATCTAGAGAATCTAGAGATCTAGATCTACAGAAAACAGATCTAGAGAACAGATACAGATGTAGTAATTAGCATTTTCTTGTTCCTGGGGGCTTTGCAAAAAAATGGGAAATTGGCACTATTACCCCAAGTTCTGCCAAAAAAAAGTTTTCATTATGCTTCCTGAGCTTGATTTTATCCCAGTAGTGCTTAAATTCATACAGCAGCTGTCTTTAACTCTTCACACTAATGCCTCCTTTGTTAGAAAACCAGCAGCAGAATCAACAAATTTCAGAGATCAATCACAGAATGCTTTGGGTTTGAAGGGACCTTAAAGGTCATCTGGTTCCAACCCTCCTACCACAGGCAGGAACACTTTCTACTAGACCAGGTTGCTCAAAACCCCATCCAGCCTGGCCTTGAACACTGCCAGGGATGGGGCAGCCACAACTTCTTTAGGCAACCTGTTCAGTGCCTCACCACCCTCATTGTGAAGAATTTTGTTCCTGATATCTAATCTAAATCTACCCTCTTCCACTTTAAAACCATTATCAACTACATGTTGATTTACTACTAATACTAGTTTGCAACTTAGGTATCCTAATCTTTTTTCAGTGAAACACTACTGGTCAGCATAGTAACAATGACCTACTAATGAACTATGGTCGAACAGTTCGTAGGCATCCAGTAGGAGAGAGTCTACAAAAGGATTCAGAGAAGCAAAGCCAGCTTGCAAGACAATGGTACCTCTCAAACATGAGGTACAGACTGGGAAGAGATATGACAGTTCAAAATGGAGGCTAACACAGCAGATATACTACAATGCAAAATTTGAGGCAAGAAGAATGGTGACAGGCCACCATACCCTCAAAGACTAATTTTTAAAATGTGTTACTGCAGAACCAATTGAGGTATGCTGGGAAAAGTGCGATATAGTTAATGATAGAAAAACATTTTAAACAATATTCTGAATACAATCATATCTGTAAGCAAAAGGAAAGGATGCTTTAATGATTACAGTGGACCATACTATCTCAAATAAGAGCTTTAGCTGTGTGAATAAGAAAGATAGGATCTCCAAGACGTCATGTAGAACAGCTCTGCAAGATGTAAAGCTAACCTGCGTCTGAAACCCTAAGGAGAGGTCTGAAACAAAATGAAATCCCTGATCACATACTTGAGTGACAGGACAGCAGCATTATCCAAACAGATCAAAAAAAAGCAAGTTGAAAGAGCAAAGTTAAGAACAACTGTCTGTCAATCAAAGTGAATTGTGTTGATCTGTGACCTCCACCCCCTCTTTTCTCATGCAGTGAATGAACAGTTAATGCTGACGTGTAAAATTATCACTGCTGGGTATCTGACCCTGTGGTTTATTGGTAGACTTAAGCCAAAGTAACTGTGGGCTGCAGTGAAAGCGGCAGTCCTGCTGATGTCTTCTCCACCCTTATTTTCCCAGGCTCTCCATCATTTCTTCTCTTGTGCTTGGGCAGCTATCTGATGGGTTTGATCAGATAGTTGATAAAAATGAAAATTAATCATTTGTATTTGTAGGCTGATTTTCTGTTGGATCAGTTTACTGATCTGACTTACCCTGCATCAAAAGATCTCTACAGAAATGATAAGAAGGAAACACTAGGAATACATGGCCAAAGGTATGGGAGATAGGAGATGGTGTGTTCTGTGGATAAACTGGCTTAAAATAATTGTGAAAGTACTCCCCATATTAACCCTTTCCTAGAGATTAATATGAATTTCCATTTTTCCTCTCTCAAACAAAACTCTGCACTTTTTAGGAATGGAAGTGATAGAAGAACACCACCAGCTTCAAAAGCTAGACTCCTCTATTAATCCACTGATTTCATGCTTCAACTGAGCAGGTATTTGAGACCCCTAGGATGGTCATCGTACTTTATCATTTACAGGAAAAGATGTAAGACACCGTAAGACTGGAAAGTCTTCTGCTAGTTCATATATCCATCCCAACAGAGCCATAGAATTGTTTAGGTTGGAAAAGACCTTTAAGATCATTGAGTCCAACCATTAACAGAGCACTGCCAAGTCCACCACTAAACCATGTTTCTAAGCACCACATCTACACATCTTAAATACCTCCACGGATGGTGACTCAACTACTTCCCTGGGCAGCCTGTTCCAGTGCTTAACAACCCTATCAGTGATGAAATTTTTCACAATATCCAGTCTAAACCTCCCCCGTACAATTTGAAGCCATTTCCTCTTGTCCTATTGCTTATGACTTGGGAGAAGAGACCAACACCTCCCTCTCTACATTTCTTGAGAGAGTATAGATGTTTTACCATTGTGCTACAATAGTAAATGTATTTTCCCCAAGGTAATTTCATGTACAACACCACGGACCTTTGATTTTCTTCATGGTGAGGAGAAGACGGGAACCCATGAAATTAAGGATGAATCACTTAGAAACAGTGTTCATATCTTCAATGTGACTTTTGCAAAGAGAATATTGAGGTACATATTCTCAACGTGTGTTAACTGATAGGAACGAGACTCTTCTCAAAGTCATTCACGGAAAGGATAAGAGGGAATGGACACAAATTGAAACACAGGAAATCCTATTTAAAATTAAAAGTGTTTTCACTTTTGAGGGTGAATGAACACTAAGACATCTTGCTCACGGAAGCTGTACACTCTCCATCCTTCAAAATCCAACCAGGCAAAGCTTTGAATAACATGCTGCCATGCTTTGGTTACTGGGATTGGACTGGACACTCTCCAGCTCCAATGACTCAAGTTATTCTGTGGTCCCCTTTTAATTGTAGTTTATTATTAAAAAATCACATTTATAGCTATTACAAACTAGAAAATCATCATAAACTAAGTTAAAAATACCTTACAGACTACTTAATACACCATAATATGTACATCACTGCATTTTTCAATATTTATGATGTCATAATCTTCATTCTATTTTATCATCAAAATACTCTTCCCAAAGTCTTAACAATGAGAAACTAATGCACAAATAAATGTTATAATTTCATAGTATTTTCATGCCCAAATTGGATTTTTAAAAGTTAATTCAATCTTGCGGAGCCTAGTGTCTTCTCCTTCAGGCCACCTTAAACTCCCAAGTAATCTAGTAATTTTTGGATATTCTATTCTAAAAGATTTACTCAGTATCACAGAAAAAGTCTGTAATACAGCAGTGTTTTGAAACCATTTCCAAGCCCTCATATTGCTATCTTTATTAGGATTTCTTTCTTCTCTACAACTATATGTTTAATAGTTTCATTGCACTTTATTTTCTCAAGCAAATTTTAAAACAAAAAGGAAGTCTCCACTTGTCATAAAAAAATCTACTCACATTCTGAGATCCATGATTCTGAGCGTACTGTCTTTGGCATGGACTAATAAACGCCTTCCATTTGGATGTACCTCCAAATGATTTATTGGTGTTCCTTTAAGATCATTTTCTTTGATTTCCTACAGAAAGAAGGAAAATGAAGTAAAAGTGTTTAAACCACATGTTTTTACACATTATTCTTAATTTTTCCATTGCATTAGTCTTTTTCTGCCCATTTTGTCCTATTTGTTTAAGGAAAAATTTTGTTCCTATATTAAGGCATTATATCCTAGGCAGTTGACTTTTCATGACCTCAAGGCAGATTGTGCTGTGAATCTGAACTTCTGAAACACAGCTGGTGACAGAAAAGTTGACTGAGCATTAGTTCTATAAGGTATGAACAAAGGTGATTTGTAAAACCTGTGGTCTGTTTCATTGCTGTTTCCAGGGAACAAACCTAATGTATTAGCATTTATCTGGTAATACAATGCTATTAAACTTCGCAGTTTTTCATGTTTTATATACAAAAAATTGAAGTTGCAAAACAATTTAAAAAAATTAAGTCTGTGAAACACGGCATTATCAGGTCTTTTATATTGTCATTTAAAGAAAATATGCCTCTAGAAGAGAAGGCTGCATGGAGACCTCACAGCAGCCTTCCAGTATCTGAAGGGGGCCTACATGGATGCTGGAGAGGGACTCTTCGTTAGGGACTGTAGTGGCAGGATAAGGGGCAGTGGGTTTAAACTGAAACAGGAAAAGTTTAGGTTAGATATAAGGAAGAAATTCTTTACTGTGAGGGTGATGAGGCACTGGAACAGCTTGCCCAAATAAGGGGTAAATGCTCCATCCCTCGCAGTGTTCAGGGCAAGGTAGGACAGAGCCTTGGGTGACATGATCTAGTGTGAGGTGCCTATGCGCATGGCAGGGGCACTGGAACGAGATGATCTTAAGGTCCTTTCCAACCCTAAGTATTCTATCATTCTATGCCTCAGTTAAAAAAAAAAAAAGAAAAGAAAAAGATAATGTATAAAGTATAAACCAAATTAAATTAAAATCAGAAAACTAAATTTGGAACAGTTCCCATTAAAATTACAATGCTAGTTTAAGGTACTTGTATACCTTATTAATCCTCCACTGTTGAAACAGGCCTTGAGAACTTTCTTTGACAAATGTATCCCAAACTATTATCAGTCCTGAGCCATCTCCGGAGAACATATGGAGCCCTGTGAAGTAGTAACATCTTATAAGTAGAAGAGTACCACACAAAAGAACTAACAAAAGTACCACATATTTGTTTGCTTGTCCTTACTATGCTTACCTCTCAATTTATATACGGTCTATATATACCCCTTTGTGTTTGTTCAAATAAGACATATTATTAAAGTATTAATTGCAACTGTATTAATTATTAATGTATTAATTGCAAACACAGCTAAAACTATTCTATCCTACTACAGCATCTCAAGAGACCTCTATGAAATAAAGCAAACTAGTAATATTTAAGCTGGTCTTCAATTGATGATTATTTGAAAGAGTAATACTAAGTATGTACCTTCTGCATCAAAACAAAGTGTGTTGATGAAACTTTTGTGACCATCAAGCTCCTGCAACAGTTGCCCATGGATTTCTTCCACATTTGCATTCCAGATTCTAATTACTGAGTCATAACATCCTGTCACGACCAACGAGTCAGCAATAGGGTGGTACTTAGCAGTGTAAACAAATGAAGGATGAGCAAAAACTCTCACTGGAGATGCTGCCTGCAATTCTATCTTCCACATTCTAAAAGGAATATATAGAGAGAGCAATCACACACACAGGTATAACTGATGCCATATTTTGTGCTAGTGGTTCTAGAAGCAGATGTTTGCAAACACTTAACACCAGCTGCCTATCCTACCCATTTGTTCCACATATGTTTAATCGTTTAATATGGTACTTCCTAAGTACACTCTTTTCAAAGTAAATTCATGACTACTTACCCATTTAATGCATATTTTGCACATTTTAAAATACATATTAAAATATCCACTGAATGGAACAGTTTGTTTCTTTGTCATCAGTGATTGTGGTCTCAAGGATGTTTTCTTCACATAAATGCAGTTCTTACTATTCATTTATTTCCTATCTTTCAACACCCATACCTCCAAGATCAGATTTTTCTTAAGAGGTGCTTTTTTTGTTTGCTGTATATTTTATTATTGAGCCTTCCCAAAAGCGAGTCCATTAAGAATAGAATGGTACCTGGATCATGAAATACAGGTGGACAGAACATTTCAGACTGCACTCAATTGCAATATAGAATTTAATTATTTGAGTGCCACGCTTCCAGGTGGGGTGACTAATTCTGATGGCTACTGAAGAATTACAAGCTTACTCAGAGATGAGTTCATTACAAAATTGCAATCCCACAGAGCATGGCAATTAACTTGCAACTTACTGTGCAAAGGTCATAAGGATTCTACCTATTTTTTTATACTGGTTTTGCTCTTAACAGCATAAAAGTTAATTTATTACTTACAAATATTGTAGAAAGGCTAAGGGTAACACGAAACACTAAATAAAGAAGAATTACTGTAGATTCTCATATTTCCCTTCAAGCTGCCTTAAAACTCAATCTGAGATGATACAAGTAACAAACTGAAAGCAATGGGGGTGCATTTTGGCCCTCGTGCTTTCATTCTAGCATACTTAAATGGCAAAATGCTCCCAATATGAAAAGGAAAAAGAAGAAATTCCTTGCCTAAATTGAGACTTCTTAAGGAGCTCAAGGCAACAGACAATAAATACAGGAACTAGTTACTTGCACAGTGACTTTGCATAGTACACAGAAAAGGAGGCAGACCACTGCAGTTTCAACTTGCTGCCACAATTCAAGAATTGAGGAACTGCTGGGCCACTTTATAGCTAGCCTAAATGACTGAAATTGGTATTTACCTCAATATAAGAAAATTCTTATTTGTTTCCAAATAAAAACCTCTCAAAATACTTTTTTTATGTCTATATACAATCAGTAAAAAAAAGCAAAATATTTAAACTCATAAATATAAAATTTAACAATTCTTCTGGCATTTCAATTATGCAACTGCCTGTAGCATTATTGAGTTGCATAACAGAAACAACAGATAGGGATCTGAAGAGCAAAAAAAAAAAAAAAAAAAAAAAAACCAGCAAAAAAACCCAACCAAACCAGCCCTATGAAAACATATGAAGTTGCCTGTAATAATATTGTACAGTCACAGCCATATTTCCATGTATTTATACAGTTTTGAGGGTTTTGCTTTTAATTCTTGATTAGTATTTTAACATTAACACTGCACTGCAGTACTCTTTAATTTTAGAGGAAAATGTGTACACATTCAGGCTTGGAAATAATACCATCAAATTTCATTTACAGCAATTTAAGTTTAATTATTTAACTAAGTGTCCAAAACCACCATCAACAAAAAACCTACACACCTAAGTGCAGCGTGACCAATTTATACACATAATGTTAAATATTCAATTTCCTGCCTAACGTTCAAATCTTCAAACTTAATATTGCATTCATAATACAGCAGTTTCTCCAAGGAGAGAGTATTGCAACTGTCTCAGTGACTTCTTGAAATACAGTCTCTTGGGTTTTTGCTACACTGGTAGACTTAGACACTACAGTTTTTGGAAAAGCTTTGGTCTCAAATACATACACACTAGAAAAAAATATAGGTAAGTACAGTGTGATTAACCCCATCACAATTTTTTATATTATTACAGAGTGAGTCAAACTGTATTAAAATCTTTAATTAAAAATTATAGCACAGTTTGTATCAAGACATGAAATTGGACCACTTTTTTCTGAATGCTTCTGATGTTATCTGCCAGAACATCTTTATACTGACCTGACCATGCCATCAGAGGATGCAGTAAGAAGGTACTGATTGTCTTTTGACCAACAAAGATCATACACTATATTAAGGTGACCATAAAATTCTCTCAGGAGTTCTCCAGAAGGGATTTCATATACTAGTGAAGTTTAAACAGCAATAATAATAAGAAAAAAAAATTAGTTCTTACAATCAATTATATACAATTATTGCAACATTTAGTCTAATCTTAGGCTAAGTTTCTGCTGTCATAATTCAACTAATTGTCTTCTCATTTTCAGAGAACAAGATCAAATAGCTGCTAAATATGCATGGACAGCAAGCATATACTTCCATCTAGTGGTTCATGAATGTCACAAATGTCTAACTCTTAGAAACAGCCTACTTGCTTTAAATAATTATAACCAGATTAGGGTTATAATGTTTTTGACAGCTTGAAATTAAGATAATTTTCTGGGGCTGGGTAATGAAGTAACCTAGACTTATTGTTTCCTGCATTTAAACATTCACTTTGTGTACATTTAAAATACTGTTCTCAAAGTTCTTATGCAGGTCTTAAGAACTAAGCAGCTGAGGCTACTATGCAGCAGCAGCCCCAAGTGTGAGTAATAAGGAAAATCTGTAGTTCCAACTGAACTGGATCATGAAAGACAGCAGTCTCTAGTAGTGTCTCTGGAGATGACAATGTTCACAAAACTTACACAAAAAGCATACGGGGTGAAGGCTGAAAAGTTATTTCACTTAAAACATTGTTATCAGAAAATATGTCTCTTAGGCAAACTGATTTCTTATTTCCATTATCATAGGATCAGCTAGGTTGGAAAAGACCTTTAAGATCATTGAGCCCAACCATTACCCTAAGACTGCCAAGACCATCACTAAAGCTTATCACTGAGGGCCTCATCTACATGAGTTTTTGAATACTTCCAGGGACAGTGATTCCACCACTCTCCTGGGCAGCTGGTTCCACTACTTGATTACCCTCTCTGTGAAGAAATCTTTCCTAATATCCAATCAAAACTTCCCCTAGTGCAGCTTGAGGCCTCTGGACAGAAATAGCATGATTTCATACAATTAAGCCATATATACATTATCATGCATGAAAAGCCAGTTCCAGCCCTATGAACACAGAAAGAGCACTTTTCTCAATGCTCTTTAATGCACTAGAACAATTTGTAAAACACAGTAATAAAACAAAACCGCAAAACCACCCACAAATTAAAAATACATTTTTGTGCTTTAATTTGCAACTACATGAGTAGTAAGAAAAAAACAACCACCAACCAACCAAATTTAAAACTTACAAATAATGGGATAACCATTCCTTCCTGCACATGCTGCTGCCAGCATTTTCCCATCATGAGAGAAACGAATAGAGAAACAGCCCAGCTCTCCACCTCGCAGTGAAAACAGAAGCTTGTTTGGTATACGGCAAGCCTAGCTTTTCAGGTAAGAAATGGGATTACACAGTTATGAATATTAACTACCCAATGCTTAAAACATTCTTAGTTACTGTCATGCATAAGTTTTAAAAAGCAACTAACATCTTAAGGGAATTTAAAAGAAAAAAAATAAAAATCAAGCTTATAAACACAGGCAGTTCTGCTGCATTACTTCGGCCACATCTAGTTTGCATACTTCTGTCCCATTATTACAGACAACTAGCAAGTTTGAAAAACCCTAAAAAAAATCTAAAATTGAATAATTTCCTTAATCTTAAGAAATGCTTAATGATGACTATTACTAGTAATATAAGCTAGATAGAGAGTTTGAATGTAAGTCATGCTTGTTTAAGCACAACTTTTAGTAACTTAATGACTGCAGTGTGAACTCAGGAGACTAACTTCAGGCACTCAAAACTCTGGTTTACCAAATCGCCTTTAGCAGCTCTAATTTGTATTTCCATTACTGATTTTTTTAAAAACATAACTGGACATGAAACATTTTAATAAAATGCACAGATGTATAGTCACCCTTCCTCTTTCCCCAAACACTTCTTCTCTTTAAAGAAGGCTTTTTCTCTATAACTCAATTGAGTTTAAGGGGAATTAAAATATCCTGAGTAGTTAATGTGATTATTTAACCTAAACCTGATTTACCTTTATGAATGAAAAACTAGTATGAAAAGAAATAGGTCTACTTATGAAATAATTTAATATACACTGCTAGTTTCAGAATAATTATAAACACATCTGGTTAGAAACTAAACGAACTGCCAAATTTCATGTTTATGATCTCAGACAAATGCTCTTAGGATCATATTTCTCTTGGTTTTGATTACACACATTTTCAGAATGGTAACTTTCTGAAATCTAATGAACATTAACTTAAATACAACTTTTAGGTATCCTGCCATTTTTGGTAATAAAATTTGTATTGTAAAAATGGACACATCTATTCTTTACTATTTTATTATTATTAGCAAATGTTACTGGGAAATAAAATTAAGTCCACTCCTTTTTGAAAGGATCTGTACAAGGTTCACAGTACGGAATCCAAATAAAAAGTCAACCTTCTTTGTTAATAAATCTTCATATTACTTGAATTTTTATAGAACCATGAACTCACCTAACCTTCTTAATATGGTTCTTCAATGGAAGTTCCTTCTTGAATGAATGAAAGTTATAGTGTAAAGGTAACTTCAAATGAGGGAATAAGAAAAACCAGCCAACCAACCAAACAAAATCCCAAAACAACCAAACAAGGAAATATATTTCCAATCAAGCTGAATCCTGGGAACTGTTTTCCTGTCTTACTTCTACTACCTGAATACGCCTACTCTTTCAAACTCCAGGAGAATTCTGGAAATTATAGTAGATCTTTAAGTTATCTTCCTTTAAAAAGCAAAGACAACCACTTCACCTGTCCAGGTAATCTTGTCCATTTAAATGGCTCCTTCTTCTCCTCTGGAAAAGATTCACATGAGTTTTTAGATCCTTCTCTCTGGTGTTCACACAGTGCTGCACTACTTTGTTCCTGCTGAACAGCGATCATAGAGCGGGAAGAAGGAGGAACCTTAAGGCAAACAAGACTAAGTATCAGGAAACAATATTTTTAAATGAACAGTTCAATATCTGAAAAGATTAAAATATACTTATAACTTCAAATGCATTGCATTTTAACACCTGAAAAACAGAGACTGGAAAAAGCTTAATGATCAAAAACTGCATATCGAAAATTTCATTTAAAATAACCACCAAGTCAGAAAGTAATCTGAGCTTCCAAATTTGTGTCAATCTGATGGTATCAAAGGTTTTCCAAATAATCAGTACTTTTTTATTTTTTGTTAACTTTCTATGTCAGCGAAAATTAGCAATACTGTGCTACCCGATGAAGCTATTGTATGAACAAAAGAGCATTTCAGTAGGTAAACAGTTCCAGTGACATTAACCTACCACCTTCAAATCAGAATACTGCCTTGGCAACAAAATCTGTTGATACCAAAAGGTATTACCATCACTGTTTATTGAACAAACTACGTTCAAGTGTTGCAAAGAAAAGAGAACTCACCACGTTGGTGATTTTAACTACAGGCAAAGCACCTACACTTTCCAAACTTCTGTAAGTACACTTACTGAACCTTATCTGCAAGTTGGATTATACCAAGCTTGAACACACAGGAAGCATTAATGCTGTGAAGCAGCCTAGAAGCCCCATGGCTGAGGCACACAGAGGTCATTAAGCAGCAGCTGCAGTTCTGATTGGTTTCACTAAGATAAGTGTCTCTTCAGAAACACATCTGAAGATGTGTTTCTGAATAGCAAGCAAAATTAGTTTTCATCCAGGCTGAGTTTCCTGATACCCGCGTCAGGATGAATAACTGCCTAGGTTTCTGTAACTAATAAGGGAGGTTTGACACCTACTATACAAGTAGAAACCAATTTAGGAGCTTAAATCAGCTGTCCACATGGGTATCTACTTTCGTGCAAGATGCCTTGTTTTATCTGAGATATGGTTTTTTTCATATCTACTATCACCTGGAGGAGACATGGGAGATCTGAGACCTTCTGGAGAAGTGGCAGACTAGGCAGGCCCTGTAACAGACCTTAAATGGAAGTGAAATCTATGCATACAAAACTGTATTATGCCATGGCTGCTATGTGAAGCTCAATGCCAGCCTTGACAAATCTGGCATTTATCAGAACACGAATGAAATAACATCAGTAGTAAATCGATACAAGTCAAGCACAGCTCAGAAATCCTATGCAAATTCATCACATAACTTGAATTTTACAGAGGACTGTAAAGTAGGGACAACTCTTATCCAGTGACAGCACCTAAATGTATCAGGAAAACATTCAGACCATGCAGAAGAAAGGCTGGGAACACTTCCAGAAAGATGAAGCACAGCTGCTCAAGCAAAATGCACAGAGTTCCTAGCAACTCAGCAGCTGACTGAGCAAGAGATCTGTGGATGTCAGTCCAGTATACAAATTAGAAGTGTCTCAAGCCCATGTGAACTAAACCCATATATTAGCTTGGTTTTGGATCACATCTCACCAGGCTTCCACAGATCACCACTGACTGTATGAACAGTAAGAAAGACTTGTGACAACTAAAAAAATATATGGAAAGTTACGTAATAGAACAATATTCTACTTGTAGAATGCTAAATGCTGTATTTATCTTGAATGCACATCTCAGCACATATCAATGTAAGCTAGTGTTTAAAGGAGTTTTCATTTAAAAAAAACAAAACTCATTATAGCTTGAGGTTGCAGGCAATCAGAGTTAAGCATCTTACACCTCTTCTGTCTTACAGAATTTACACACCTGCATGAGTCCAATGACTTAAAATAGCGTTTCACCAGCAAGAATGTACCTTGAACGTTTTCTGTCAACAGTAAAATACAGAAAGTATGCCTATTTTTCAAAGATAGCTATGAAGGACTGAGTTTAGAACATGTATCTTAAGACACGAAATCATTTATAGCTAGTTATATACCAGTTATTTTATATACTGCATATAAGTACAGCTGTTATATGCATGTGTACAGAAAAGTCTGTATATTTGTAAATATATTTACATATCATATATTTAACTTACATGATCTGATAGTTTTATGCCTCTTACAGTTACATATAAAGTGGATGGGTAACGATTTCTAGGACATTTTGCCCACCAGTTGTAAACCTCAACCACATCAGAATGTGATCTGGTCTTTGGAGGCGGGTAATATAATTGCAGACGGAGTTTTCCATCAATGTTCAGAGCTCCATTTGTACCTACAAGCTGGAAGGGTGATTAAACAAAAGGAAAAAAGGTTGTGTTAATATAGAAGTAATAGGAGTCATTGACTATTTCTAGTATCTTAATTACAGTATAAACTTTCGAAATCCACTTCCCATTAGGGAAATATACTACCCCTAAAAGTGGTAATGGAGTAAGCATGTATTAAACGCCCCCAGGATCAAATCACTAAGATTAAAACTTAGATAGCAGCCTAGTTTTGAAACATGCTTCATATGCACAACAGTAATATCTTGTATATGGTAAGACCTCTGCAGTACCACCTTTTTTTTTTTTTTTAATTACTACTTGCTGAAATCACCCAAATCTCAAAGGACTGTCAACCCAAGCAGCCCCCTTTGAATGCTGCAGCAAAAGGTACTGGTAAAGCTTTGACTCAGAGCAGAAGATAACAGCAAAGCAGTAAACTTTCTAACTTCAGAGGAAATTGAGTTCTCTCTACTGAACTAAAGAATAAATGTTAACACTGACCACTAACACTGCCATAACACTGACCCCTGTTTTTCAGGACATTTCTACTTTGACAGATACAGCTGAAAGCACAATGCAGACAGATGCAGTAGGAATGAAGAACAGAACACTATTTGTATTTCTGAGTTGAAAACTCATTCTTCCCTTTGTCCAGGGGTAGGCTACACTGCATGTCTGGATGCACAGTTTCCAGTAGGTATACACTGAGACACTAGATACCAGACCCCTGATTCCAGCAGTTCCTATGGGGCAGAGCTGAGAAGAGACATTGTATCGAACAATTAAGGGAGGTCTGTCTCCCTTCCCCCAAACTTGCACACCATTGTCTTCTGTGTTTCTCATGTTGTGGACTGCTCCATGGATGTGAACATGTACCATCCATAGGGGCAGATGTAAATTAACAAGCCTCAAGCAAAGTAAAGCTTGTCAGCTCTCAGAGGCCAAACTAGCACATTCAATTCTCCCTAACAGGGCAAAAAGGTACACGATGCGCTGGCTAAATTACCTGTATCTCATTGCCACAGCATTTCAAACTCTTAAACTAAAAATGACAAGGCATCTTATAGTCAGGCCAGGAGTCTTACCAAAAAGTCTGGCCAACTGAAAATGACAGAATAGCTGAGGTACAGAAATCGGTGGATTTGTCATTTTTTTTCAGAAACAATCTCACAAACACACAGAAAACCCTCAAAGAAAGCCGCCTTCTGGGCTTTATGAACTACAAAAAATTTCTTACACGCTCTACACTTTCTTGGAAAATACATACTCCTTACTGTCAAGCTTGTTACTGTGAATTTTTCGTGGTGAAAGAGGGAAAAGAGAGAACAATCAAGCAAGCATTTGTTTTTCCACTTCTGTTGCCTGGAAATATATTTAAAAAAATCATTCCCCCACTTAGTATGGTTAGTGTCTTTCAGATAATTAAATAAAAATACTTATAAATTTTGTTTCTTCATTTAAATGGTTACAATACCTTTAGAAATGCCCAACAGATTTTTCGGAAACCAGATTCCTGAGTTTGTACATCAGAGTTGGCTCTCAATTCATCCATACTTAGTAAATCAAGCACCTGAATATAAATATAGGAATATAGGAATATAAATGCATTTCTACTGAGTATGTGCTTTTTGGTACTTAAAAAACCCTGCTGAAAATATACTAGATGTGATTCACTAAATTAAACACATTTTAATTTTAAGCAACTACACGAACAGTACTTCTTCCACACAACTTGGCAATCAGAAATAACAGACCTTATGCATTTACCTGACGACTATTTATGGCCTGCTTAAAAAAAAAAAGACAGAAGTCTGGTCTTAGAAAACTACTCGTGCTTCCCTTCTGTCTCAATAAAAGAGGAAAATATTAATTTGTAATTTTCATAAACCATATATGGTTCACAAATCATATATCTAACAGCCAAAACCGGCTGTATGCTAACCTAAGGGCTCTTGGCTCTGTACATGAGGTTTAGTGGTGAACTTTGCAGTTTTAGGTTTATGGTCAGACTCTGTAATCTTAAAGGTCTTTTCCAACCTAAATGATAGTATCACAGGACATAAAGAAACGTATGCTGATATTGTGTATACAATCTATTTGAAGTATAAAAAGTGAGGGATGAAGTAATATTAATTGTATTAAGTTCCTTTTCAGGTTACTACTACAGAATCTCTCCTTACAAATACTGAAATACAGCTGAAAATCATGTTGAATATATACCTTACAATTTTTTCTTTAAACCTAACTTTACTGGAGGACAAATTAATAATTACTTTGTGAAGAATGGGAGAGGGGATGTAGATTTCTAAAACATCTAACAGTTTGCTCATTTGTACAAGGGCAAAGAGGTGCTGTTACCAGTAGGCAAACTCTAACTTTCAGATTCTGGTACCTAAGCTTCTTTTCAAGAAGCTTTTCAAGACACTTCAAGAATGTGAAAAAGGAAGAAGTGATATTCTTTAGACATTGTGCATCTCTCCTAATTTGGAACCAGCCTTTCCTAGAAATTTGACAGTTGATTTATTAAGAAAGCTTTGTCCTCCTTACTGCTATCAAAACAGGGTTGTGGGGTTTGGTTTTTTTTTTTCCCTGTAAGACAAGTTTATTAGTATTAGCAATTACAATTACCATTTTTTGGTATCGCCACTTAACTCTGTATCTTAAGGCTATGCTATTAATCCACTATATCTGAAATAAAAACACCCAAATCAACCAAATATATTGTTGAAGAAACGAACACAAAATCATAATGTGCATAAATTAGATGCAAAATAGTTAACCTTACCTCAAAAAACAGGATTACTAGAGGACTTTCTTCAGTGTTTTGAATAAAATAACTAAACCGCTCATTAAATATGACTTGCTCCTCCCACTCCGGAACTGTTGATTTAGACTGTCTGAAGTTATATGGTTGTGTCATAATAGGAAGAATGTGATCTACTTGTTCTTGCTCATAATAAGATGAAACTTTCCTCTGGCTGTTTGAAAATTTCCAAACAGTTACAATTGTCATAGCACCTTAACCCCCCTCCCCTCCACACTTAAACAAAACAGTATTTTCAGTTACTGATTTTAGAAAAAGAATTTCTCCAAATTTATGCATGATGATCACAGCAAAGTACTACTTAAACACTATCAAAATTTTGTTTTTGGGAAAATTATGCATATTACACTGGTAACGACTAAAGGAATTAGAATTACAAAGAACTAAACTTCAGGATTTTAGAAGTCCTTTATAAAAGAACAGGCAGACACTATTTATGCCACAGTAGTTTTGCTTACTTATTCTAATCTTGGCTTCTACATATTTTTGAGATTTAGGAAATTTTCTCTCTGTAAGAAATGCAGATGAATTGTGCTGTAAATATGGGGGCCTCGAACTCAATACACTAGTGCAGAGCATTTAAAAGTGCCAAAAAGAAAAATACCACCCTAATTAACTGCAGGTATATATGCATCATATATACATCATATATATATATGAGATATATAAGAGACATAAATATCTCGTAGATACATCTCATAGATGTAGAAACCAATGAATTACCTCACAGGCTTAAAATTCAGTATTATTTTCATTTTAATATTTCATTTTCTAGGGAAGAATCTATGTATTCATAGCAATCATTGATAATAGAAACAGTTCATTAAAAGTCACCTATGATCCTTCTTGACATATAAGCCACTTCTCTGATCAACAACATGGATTTTAACCATGGGATGAGATACCCGGAGATCAGTTTTAAGTCGATCAGATCGATGGATGTAAACTCCCAACACAAGATCATCACCAAAACCAACTTTATTCTGAGCTGAAATTTCTGAATTCTTAATTTCCTCATCATTTTCTGCAGCAACTTCTGTATTTTCCCCTAGAAATATGAACAAAGTAAATAGAAGTTAGCATGTTCTACTAGTGACAGTTTAAAGGAGTAAACATGCTCTGTATTGTCTCAGCAATCAATAGTAATAATATTCAACTTGTTCTTTACGTAATAGGTTAAAATAAAATTATCAGGTTTGCAGCATTTTGAACATATATGAACATACACATGAAAATGTATTAATATAATCTATTCCTACTAACAAATATTTTTATTTTAAATCAGAGGTCTTCCTCTTGACTGACATAGTTTCTTTCTTGCTACAATGACTTAAAATACACACAGTTCAATATCCTGCTCTGCACTACAACCTGCAGTAGGTTTTGTTTTAGGAAAATATAAAAAGATAAGCCTAAGCTGATACTTTCTCCATGTGCATTTTCCCTGAATTTACCGCTGTTTTCAAAACTTCCACTCTTACAAGTCACAGTGAGACCACCATACTTAATAGATATCAAAAGACCTACTCCTCATCAGCTTCTGTAATCTGTGTTTTTAAACCTATTACGTGGCCTCATCAATGTTCAAGGAAATTAAGTATCCAGTTTGACCATGTGTTGCATGAAAAAGTACTCCTTATGTCTGAATTGAGCATCAGGTTAAAACTGTGGTGACACAGCATTTATAGCCTAAAGTAAATGGAAATGAGGAAGTAATAAAAACAAAATTAGAATATGCATCTAAGTAATACAATGTAAAGATGATCTATACATTTAAACATTGTATTATGCTTAAACCCCCCAAACATTTAAACTACTTATCAATTTAAAAATTATTTGCAATAAATGAACTATCAAGATTTTTAACTGATGCATCAAATCAACTTCCTTATTAACTAGCCTTTAATTAAGTAATTAAAGAAACATTAGTAACTTCAACAGCTCAAATCACTTCCATGTTACTATTACTATGGACAAATACTTTTGCAGAAGCGCAAAGAGGGGAGAAAAAAAAAAAGGAAAAGAAAGACTTGGATAAAGCAGCAAAGCAGCACAACATTCTAACATTTTGCTGTCGGACCTTTTCTGGTTTTCTTTTTAACTTTCTTTGCTTTAGGTTTCTGTTTTTCTATGTTTTTCTCCAGTTTCTGCCCTTCTGATGTAAACAGTCTTTCCAATGAATGATTTTCATTGCCATCTTGTGCTGGATGATGCTGTAGCTCAGAAAGGGACATTGCACTGCAATATAACGGATTACTGTTACCAATTGCATTCTAGCATGTATGTGGATACAATTGTTCACTACCATTATTAATATGATAGAAATTTCCTCTTTAGTTCTGCAACTCATCTGCGTATGTTGGAAATGCAACACAGCCCCTAGTATTAGTTTCTTTTCTTTATCATTTCTCTCCCCTCTTCATTTCCCCATAATTTCCAATATTTGCAGAACCATTTGTGTGAACACAGCTAAGCTAATACTCTTCTGCTGGATTAGGGCCATCGCTCATCACTAAAAGAATATGCACAAAATTATCTTTAGTTAAGAGTGAGTTCTACAGAAAATGAGCATCATATAGTGATGGAGTACATCTTTTTTTTTATAATTTAAAAGAATCTGAGAGTTAAGTATTAATCTTGACAGCATTTTGAATGAGTATTTGGCAATGTTTTTTCACAACTGAATCATCCAATTCATCACTTAGGTAGAAGCTTTCTGATAAACTACGTATTTTCTATCTAAACCCAAAATGCTGCATTTTGTTTAAGATTCACAAGGACATGGTATACAGTTTATCATGGTACCTTGTTTCAGCTTCACTTAAAATTGCTTTTTCTTTCTTTCTCTTCTTTTTGTTTACTTCACTGTTGACTACAACTTCATGGCTTTGAACAGTAGAGGTAAATTCAGATATCTGCTCTTTAAGTTTTGTTCTTATTTTCTTTTTAATTTCATTTGCCTCATCTTCAGCCACATGCAGCTGGTAGGCTCGGATTAGCTCTTCCTCCTCGTCTAATTCAGTTACATTTCTCGCTTCAGTCAAGAATTTTTTAATCTTTCCATCACCTCCTTGATGAGGTACATCTGTTTGTGATTTACTTTTTGTTTTCTTCTTTGAAAAATCATTAATCTTTTTCTCAAAACTCTCCAATTCAGCTTCATGTAAATTTTCCTCCTCATTAAATTGTTCTTGTAACAGTGATTTCTTTTTCTTCTTGTTAGACTTTGGTTGCTTGTTCTCCTCTCTACTAACAATATCATTGTTTATTTTCTTTGCAATTGAGGCTTTCTCTCTCAGTTTATTTTTTGTAAATCGTGGACTCTCTTCTTCAGGATTGTATGTGTTGTTTATAATTGCTTGATCATTCACACTTTCCTTAGCTAAATCAATATTACTTTTAAAGGTGTCAAGCTATAAAGGAAAAGAACATAGAAAATACTTGTACTACAATTATGTTTTAAGGATATACACAGTACATAATGTTATTTCTTCAGCAACATTACACATAGTAAAATTAAATCAAAGATCTAATAATTTTATTTAAAATTAACAAGTGACAGATTTAAGGCAACAGAAAATTCACTCTGGGAAAAAAAAAATCCAAAACATTTGGCACTTCATCCTAAATTCCATTTCACGATGTTTTAAAATTACTTTTATGTATATCCAGCCAAAAAAAGAAATCAACAAGTCTACTCCATAAACAGATGATAACTGTTGACTATGGAAGACCTGAAGATAACATGCAGCACAAAATCAAGTATTCTAATCCATTTAAAATGCAAGTTAGAGGCAGGCTTTAAGCTCAGCTGTTTGTAGTCTCTTTAATTGAAAGTTGCTTGCCCAAGTTAGATAATGAAATTATATTTAAAAGTGCTAAGACTGAAAAATAGATTTCCATTAAGACTTTTTCGAAGTATAAAGTTGAAAGAAAAAAATTCACACTACTCTTAGCAGAATGACAGAGTTGATCTGAAGACCAGTGTAATAAAAACAGCTAAGATTAATTTCAGCTAATGCATATCCCCATACAATCCTTTCTTTGCCAAGATCATATTCCTCCCTCAATAAACACAGGCATCTTCCCTTTCTAGCTGGGATACTTCTCCCAGTTACAAAACTGTGTTTGCCTCAAACATTACATATATTGTCCCCTTTTTTAAAAATAGGAGATCACCAAAATGTATAAGCTTATAAGAAGAAAAAGCTTACAAGAATAAAGTTACAATGCTAATTATACTTTGCAGGATGGATCCTGACTTAAAAACACCTGTGAGAATAATATTCCATGACCTGAAAGAACACTCAATGTGCAAGTCATCTGCCTCTATGTTCTATGCCCTCAATTATGTGAGTCTGCAAACCTTCATCACTGTCTTGCTTTAGTCACATCTGAGATTCAAAGAGAGAACATGGACAGCAAAGAAAGTACACGTACTGAAGAAAGAGAAGGGAGTATAAAGAAAGGAAAGTTTGAAGTACATGAGAAAAAAAAAATCAAGGAAGTTTGTTAGTTGTACAGAAAATTGTCAAATAAAAGCAGCGTGGCAAGAAAAATATACCAAGACAAAGTCTAACACAGAAATAAAAGCTGATGTCTGAAACTAGAGACAGCTTAAAAATATACTAACTAGACTAATGCTACATATTAAAAAACACTGTCCTAAATAAAGTTAAAAAAGAAAGCATCTAGAATTTCATGCAAGTATGCTTTTCTAATACATCAGAAAAAATCCAAAGCCATTCATCTGTCTTTTCAGTAATCTTTATTTTTAGCATCCTATGTCTAAAAACAGTTTAAATTATCTCGATATCAAATTATGAAAAAAGTCTTTGTGCCTTCATCTTTTATTTGCTTAAATAGATCAGTAACATCCTATTTATAAGTCAGTGATTTAAGAGGATGTGGTAAAATTCATATAAATAACTTGAAATACAGAACAGAGTGGGGGGGGGGGGCGGAAGCTCCAAGCTTTGTATAAGCTAAAAAAATCCAAAATAATGCTTTGCAATAGATTGACCACTTCCTTTTCTGCATTTCTAGGAATAACTTGAACTGTAGAGAACAAGGACTAAAGATTAAAACATGCAGGCAATTAAGGCACAACAGTGACCAATAGCTAAAGTTATGCTGATGCTTGCCTTGATAGAATACTAATCCATTAAGCTCAAAAAAGTGGAACGCTTTGAAAAATCCTTAACAAAAAGCCCTTGTCTTTGACCTGTTCAAGAGTTTCTAAAATAACTGATACTTGAGAATCCTTTCCTCAAAGATACATAGGTGTTGCAAAAACTTGCTTGAAATATTTACTAGAACTTGTTACTTATTATGCTTACAAAAACAAATGTGCACAAATGTGCCATGAATAGTAGCACACAGTCACTTAACTATAGTTAATTTACTCATAGGAGAAAAAGTACAGAATATCCTTATAATGAAATACAATACAATCTCAAGCTAAGGCAAATTCCAAAAACATTAACAGGTAGCACAAAGCTCCTTCAACAGTTCAAACACAAATTCCTCAGATATACAGCCTGTATGTAACTCAATTCATAGAATAGAATCATAGAATAGTTAGGGTTGTAAAGGACCTTAAGATCATCTAGTTCCAACACCTCAGCCATGGCCCAGGACACCTCACACTAAACCATCTCACCCAAGGCTTTGTCTAACCTGGCCTTGAACACCATCAGGGATGGAGCATTCACAGGCTCCCTGGGCAACCCATTCCAGTGCCTCACCACCCTCACAGTAAAGAATTTCTTCCTTATATCCAATCTAAACTTCCCCTGTTCAAGTTTTAACCCATTGCCCCTTGTCCTATCACTACAGTCCTAATCAAGAATCCCTCCCTAGCATCCTTATAAGCTCCTTCCAGATACTGGAAAGCTGATATGAGGTCTCCACACAGCCTTCTCTTCTCCAGGTTGAACAGCCCCAACTTTCTCAGCGTGTTTCATACGGGAGGTGCTCCAGTCCCCTGATCATCCTCGTGGCCCTCCTCTCGACTTGTTCCAACAGTTCCATGTCCTTTTTATGGCGAGGACACCAGAACTGCACACAATACTCCAAGTGAGGTCTCATGAGAGCAGAGCAGAAGGGCAGGATCACCTCCTTCGACCTGCTGGTCACACTCCTTTTGATGCAGCCCAGGATATGGTTGGCTTTCTGGGCTGCAAGCACACACTGAAGCTGGCTCATGTTCATTTTCTCATTGACCAACACCCCCAGGTCCTTCTCCACAGGGCTGCTCTGAATTTCTTCACTCAACCTGTAGCTGTGCCTGGGACTGCTCTGACCCAGGTGTAGGACCTTGCATTTGGCATGGTTAAACTTCATAAGGTTGGCATCAGCCCACCTCACAAGCGTGTCAAGGTCTCTCTGGATGGCATTCCTTCCCTCCAGTGTATCAACCAAACCACACAGCTTGGTGTCATCAGCAAACTTGCTGAGGGCACACTCAATCCCACTGCCCATGTCACCGACAAAGATGTTGAACAAGACTGGCCCCAACACCGATCCCTGAGGGACACCACTTGTTACTGCTCTCCAGCTGGACACTGAGCCATTGACCACAACTTTTTGCATGTGGCCATCCAGCCAGCTCTTTACCCACTGAGTGTTCCACCCATCAAATTGATGTCTCTCCAATTTAGAGACAAGGATGTTGTATGGTACAGTGTTGAACACGTTGCATGAGTCCAGATAGATGACGTCAAGAAATTCAGGACACTTTTTCAACATGTAATTGCATGATGTAATTAAACAGAGAGGAAAGATGAGAGTCACAAAATAATAACGTAACAGCCAAGAGGTTTATAAAAAACATCAGATCAGGTCTCAGGCAGAGGCAGGGATACTGATACAGATTCTCTGTCTGAAATGCAGGACTGAGAAAGATCAACTAAGAACAACTGTCCATATATAAACAGACGTGAACCAAGTTGGCAGGCTGGAAAAGCAGCTCTTAGGGTAGACCTGTCTCTGGATTAAGTCCAGAGGGTTGCTGACCTGAGCCTGACCTCCTCAGCTTAAAGCATGTATCAAATGGGAAGGCTTTTTTCAAAACAGCTCCATGGCCACATTACAACACCAGGGCAGAGGAAACACTCCTCCCTGAGAACAGACCTACTTGCACTACTGGCTTGATAGCAGCAAGAGATGGGCACCAGCCAAGATGCACATAGGTGGACTAATACCATAACAAGGTATTCCCAAATCACGTCATTTGCTCTTCAGGTTCCAGCTGACAGCAGGGACTATACCTAATAATCTTACTTCTTTTTAAAAAAGGCTTCTCAAGTATGCATGAGTGGAACCTGGAAACACATCAGGTGATTTTGACCAGGGTAACTGGAAACTCAGATAACCAGACTTAGAGAGGTACCTGAAGTTCTTCCCATAGTACAGGCACACCTTGAAAAATACTGCCAGCCCACTAAAGGGCTGATGTGTACACTTTGTAAAAGACCATTTACTTACAACTGGGTTGGTAATGAACATACTTGTTAAGGAAAATATGAATGTACTAGGGAACCAATTTTCCTACCATTGCACATGTAAGGCTACAAAATGCAGACACTCAAAGCTAGAAGAATTTCAATTTACAGATAGGATGGGCTTGGAGAAGTTTCACCAAATTTTAATAAAAAACCTTGAGAAAACGTGTAGGTCAAGTATATAGTGAACTATTGGCAGTTTTCCCATTTTAAGTGTAAGAAACAATAGGCTAAATCCAGTGGAAATCCTGGCAGTTTTTCAGTGCACATGGCTACTGAAGAACAAAGCAGACCTTTCACTGGCCACAGCTGATGTCCACCTCCATTATAAGCCCCTCATTCCTATCTGTTGTGACCAAACTCATCCTGACTTACTGACTTCAGCCTTTCCTCTTTCAGTCAGGCTGCTTCCCTTCTCTCCAGGCAATGGGCACACACGACACAGCAGGCAAGCATGCAGGCAATCTCCTTACCCTCACTTCTGTCATTTAAAAATCACAGAAAGCTCCTGCAGCTCCAAACCTCAGGTTTCAAGGAAACAGTGGACAGTGAGGCCAAAGGTTTTATTAATCTAAGAAAGGCTAGGTTCAGTAAAGACAAAAGAAAGAAGCAGACTGGAATATTTCCAGTGGAAATACGCTCTCAACCATAACCTCTTTATGGTCAAACCCAGGACATCATTTATGGCAAGTGTGTGACACAAAGCCATCACTGATAAAATTCACATTATTTCAAGATATGTGAAAGTCTATACAGTTAAATTACATACGGTGAAGAAAACTGTAAAAAAAAAAAAAAAAACAAAAACCACCCAACCTCCTCCACCTATCTCCTCTTCCCCTCCCACATACATCTATTTCTTACAATGAAACGACTGGTTATTTGCTGAAGCTTTTACAGAAATTTCTACTGGAATGCAACCAGCATGGAAATACCAGCCTGAGCTCTTGCAAAGTTGCCACAATTGAAGGAAATATTCAAAATGACCAGTATAATGTTTTAATACACTTTTTCAAGTTCTCCATTTTCAGTGCTTATACTGATAAAAATCTACGGCTTCAACAAAACCATAAGCCAGGCTTCCACACCGATCCTAAAAGCGCTTCTTAATCAGTGTACATATCACTAACTTTTCATTCAGTTCACTGTGATTTTAAGTGTTTCTAGGTAACTGCAAAATACTAGTGTTTTACATCAAAGATTTCTGGAATGGAATCCAATTTTAAAATCAAAGTAAGCTTAAAATATTTATGAGTAATATGTAGCTGCATATGAAGATACAATTATGTGCTCAAAAATACCTGTTTCATAAAGTACAGATTTAAAAACTCATGTTTCATCAAAAAAGTAAACCTAACCAAGGAAGAATTTAGTATTACATTTACATGTATGCCGGCAAAAAAAAGGAAGAAGATCACCCTCTAAACTTTCTATGCTATGTTTTACGTATCATGTTGGTTCTTTTTATGGATTATTGACTAAACTCCGTATACTTCAAGAAATGCAAAATAAAAAATCTGCACAAATATCAACTTCAAATTGACAATCTAAAGACAAAATTATGTTTCAGCATAACAATACTATACTATAGCTACTTACATACAGTAAATACATGCAACGTTCTAATTTTATATAAAATATCACTCCTTTGTCTTAAATGAGTATTACAGAATGAAAATTAACTTCCAGCATCTGGTATGGACACAACTGTAAGATAAAAAAACGAAAACAAACCAAAACCCAGAAACTATAAAACCTAACAGGAAAAAAATAAAAACCCAGAACATTTGTCTTTGAAGACAAGGCTTTCTTTTTGAAATTGTAATCATTGTAAGTAAATAATCAGTGTATATAGGACACGTACTAAATATTTATTCTTCTGTTCAGCAAAAAGCTACAATATGAACCACAACTCAGAGGAATGTCTGAGGGTCTTTTAATGAAAGATACGCAACACAAAATAATGTCACCTAACCATAAGGGTAGGGTGATAGAATCATTTATAATCTGCAAGTCACAAGATAAAGCCAAAATGTTTAAAACAAACCCTTATGCCTAAGAAAACATGTAAACACAAGACTACACAGACACAAAGCTCAGCATACGCAGAAATATGATGATTACTGAGGTCAAATTGGAAAAAAAAAGTTTCAAATTTTGTTTAATATTCTTTGTAAATTGTTATTCTTATACCAGTGATTTTTAGGAAATCAACTAAAGTTAATTACTATCTCTAATATTATTATAAATTCTCATCAGTTCTGAATTCACAGATGCATTACACAGACGCAGTGCTCTAAAAATTAAACATTTTTATAGCCATAATTCTACTAGCCCATCTCTCAAACTCCCACTAAAGTTAACACTGAATTTGAAAATCTTAAAACTTTTCTGAAAACTATGTATGGAAAAAAAAAAAAAGTACTGTCAGACTTTAAACATGTGCATGCCTGAATGTGACGCTTTCTTTTTACCTGTATTATAGTCTATATAAATTTTGGCATACCTCCAAATTACAAGCATGCATTGCTGGTATATAGGCAACATATAAAAGACACCTCAAAACAAAGCATATGTGCAGAAATATGCTTTGTAATTTTTTTTAAATGCCTACATCTCCTTTTTACAACACATTGTCTTGATCTTTTTCCCATTAAGGAAGGCAGCCAACCAAAGCCTGCATGTGTTCAAACTCACCACAATATTCTCTTCAGATTGAAACTTCTTTTTCTTTGATTTCTTTGTGTCTGCTAGGCCAGCATGATGTCTGAAGATCTCCTCAAAGCAGGCTCTAGTTTTTGCCTTTGCCTCACTTTCAACTGCAGAAAGAAATCTAGAGTATGATTTGCAACCTCAATAATTACCATTGCTAAAAAAGTGTGTAATCATGCTTTAAAATTGAAAAGAACAAGAAATATTTTATCAGGGAAAGTTTACCAAGAAATTTGTGTGGCATTCAGTTAAGAATTTCCACTGACAAAGTAAACCACACAAGGATAACTCAGCAACATTGTACAGACACACCAGGCTATTACTTGCTGCTGAAGCTGGCATCATCAACCCTGTTTCCTGAAGAAAAAACATTTTGAAGAGCAAAAACATCAGGATCAGCATAAAACGGGCTAGCTTAAGCAGAGGGCAGATTATTGCCCTGCTGTTTATGAATGGTACCACACTGATAACAGATGACACTGTCTCCAGAATAAGCAGCAGATCAAGTTTTTACTGAATCTGGATCCCAGAGAAGCATCACCCTGAGACAGATCCTGCAACAGGCAGGAGCATGCAGGGATCCAAAATCAGCTGGAGCCGAGTCTCTATTTTCTGTGAATCATTATACTGCTATTTGCAGCATTTCAACCCTTGAAGCAGCCGTAGGTGTTCTAGACCCCCTGAGGTAATGCTTAATTTGTAGCTACAGAATTAAAAATGCAATCTGGCACATCTCTCAGAGACTGTTGAATCCTCAGCTAAGGCATATTTACCATTTGTCATTACAATTTTTTGCAAGAGCCCCCAAATTTAAAGAATAATAAAAAGAAATAATTAAAAAAAAAACCAACCCCAAAACAAAACAAAAACACACTACAACTCTTTGGAAATAAACTATAAACACAGAGTCAAAACAGAGCAAATGCAACATTAAAAGATTACAGACAGAACTAAATTCTGTCATTTGCATCTAGTTCTCACTACAGGATATGTATTAAAAATCAAACAAAGTCTTCTTACCTACTGGCATTTTCAGTCCTCAGAAGTGGCTCAACACACCAGCTGCTTCCTCAGAATTCACCATTCTATTAAAAGTAATTAAAAACTTTCATTACCATAACTGGTCCAAAGACTTGAAGATAACAACTGAATGCATGCTAATTAATATCAAGGATGATTACATGGTTTCTATGGAAATATTTATTTCTAAACTATTTGTCTAAGTTAGAAGAAGTTCTCTGCAATCAAATCAGCTCAGGAGTCTCTGTACCTATCTGATACTTGTTATTTGAGAGTAAATAAAAAGCAACGCTGTAGCCGATTGATTAGCTACATGTTTCTGGGCAATAGTCAAATACGTTAGTACTGTAGGCCTCCAGTCTTCTAAAAAACCCTACAGTTTATTTAAATAATAATGACCCATGAAGCCATCTATATTGAAGCCTTTCTGATCAGGCTCCTATCCTGACAGCATCGTCAAAAAGTCACACTGTAGCCAGCTGATAGCTTTCAATGCCAATATTAATATCTACCAGCAAATCTAACCTTATCACAACTCTCTATTTACGCTTACATAAAGCATTTGTGTTTTACATAAAGCAGACAAGCAATTACATGAAACTCATTTCTCTAAAGAAAAATGTTAGGCTTTCCTGACTGTGGAGAAAAGCCTGCAAATGTAATCCAAACAAAGCTTGCAGGCACATAAAAATACTACACAGCTTTATCTTTTCATCAAGAAAATTCAGAATGCTTTGCAGAAACCTTTAATACAAAAAGCTGTTTTGCAAACAATGGAACTAATGAAACCTAGCTTTCTATCAACGTGTTATGGTCTCCTTAGCCTTCCATGCAATAAACTATCATACCTCTTTCTCTCACAGCCCACTGAGCAATAGCTTCAAGTTCTTCCTAGGTAACACCTTCTTATAGATACCATCAACTCACATTCACTGGACACCCATACTATGCTTCCCTTAACAAATTAAGACATACCATTAAATACTGCCAGGCTATATAATTGCATTGTCCTCAGCACCAGTTTGGTCCAAGCAATTCTGGGTATAGTTTATGAGTTCGTATAGATGATTATTAATAAGCAGTTTTCATGTAGCCACTCTGATTTGGGTCTAAAAGAGTTTAATAGTATTAAAGTGGGCCCAAGATACCACTTGGCTTCAACACTGAAAATCATTCCTAGGCATACACCTCCTATCAATATAAGAGCGAGCCCAGGCTACCCCAAGCATCTGCACTACCATACTATCAGACGGTATGGTATCTCTTTCATAGTGTTACTTGCTTCTTCCCTGTCCCCCACAGCCTACATAATTTGAGTTAATTTCATATTTGTTACTTACAGTAGTTTGGCCTGCTGGCTAGCCAAATCAACCTAAAAAAAAACAAACATGGAAGTGCTAGTGTTGGTTTGGGATTAAAGAAGGGCTTATTAGTCAGTTGCCAGGTGTTGTTAGTTTATTTCATGTATTAAGCAAAGCATTTATGCTAAGTATCCAACAACCTACGGATGTTTGAAACAAGCAAGGATGACCAGAAGTGACTTCATAGGAAGAAATAAAAAATGGTTTTGTAATATGCTTCATCATGGCACTGACAGGGTAACAGTATTTTCAGTAATTAAAATATCTTTTGACAGGTAAAGCTTTACCTGTCAAAACTGAAACAGTAACAGTTAGAAAATTCTTAAAAAAATGAAAACAGAAAATATTATTGAAAAGTATGGGTTGCAATTTATACTTGGTTATACCAAAAGGCTGTTTTAAAAGAATGACAGTTATTAAATGCTTCTTTTCAAGTAGTCATTTCACAATTGGCTGGAAAATACTTTTAGTATGAATGAGTAGAAAACTAAATATAGTTATAAAAACCAGCTGATTCAGTAATTTTAATCATTCCCTGAGGATTGCAGGAGCATAGTAAAGTCTCTTATAATTAGTTGAGTGATTTCAACCACTCCTTAGAAAAAATAATTACAAACAAGAAATTAAATGTTCAAGTGATCTTGAATTTAAAACAAAAAATACGAGAGGCAATGTAGAACACAACTGCAACATAAAGTACACACCTCTTCCAAGTATGGAAAGAATTTTATGGTCAATGGTTAAATAGATCACACCACAAAAAACTATACGTAAATTTATTTTGCAGATAGTTTTGTTTATAATGTAATAAATAACTTTCCAAAGGCTGGGCTCACCTCATGTTTACCAACATTCTTTGTAAAATGAACTTGCCAAACTCACCAGAGAGTATAGTTTTCTGTTTACCTATATTTATTCAGTAAAAGTGGATCCTCTTGCAGCAATAAAGACATAAAGTCCTCTAATGATAGCGCTATTATTTTATGCACATTTCCAAATTAAAATTACATGACCTTTAACATGGTGCATTAAAGCAACTATTACTCTTGTGTAAATATAGTTCATTAATCAACAAGGATAAGAACAAGCCTGTTTACCCATTGTAATCCCACCTTAAACTGGTAAGGATTTAACCTTCTATCAAAGGTCAGCAACCACAGTGCCCCAATCTGAATAAATTCAGTTATCATTAAGGTTAACCTTATAAAATGCATTTTTGCCTGATCAGATTTGATCTCTTTCATGTTAGTTAATACGAGGCAATCCAGGAATGACAAAAATACATACTTGGAACAGTGGCATATTCCAGCCATCAAGAATAACCAGGAAAACAAGTTAATGAAGCCCAAACTTCCAAGAATTACTGTATACCTTCCTGACAATCATCTAACTTGCTCTTCACTAATACTCCACCTGTATTAATAAATGTGATTCTACGTTAAATTCCTGCTATTTTCACAGTATTTTACAATACTGAGTTGCTATATTCTGCATGCGTAATACAGGAATTTTCTATGCAAAACGTGCAACAAATCCCACTATTCACAAAAAAACCACCTTTAACTAATAATATAGGTAGAGGTTTTTCATAAAAATCAAATCTATACTATAATGAAGCAGAATATACAGAATCTGTATTACACAAATTTCCTACCTAATTAGGCCTGTTTAGGAAACTGAGTAGACAAATGTAATTGCACGCTTCAGGATTTTCGTGAACTAAATCCCTCCTTTTGCTGCAAAAAGTGAATGTAATCTTCAGTGCCTAAAACCAAGTAGAACATCAGGCCATCTTCTAGATGAGATCAGTAATCACAGTGGGAAATCTTGGCTTTAACTTGTAGGTTTTCAATTCTGCTATCTGTAGGTATCACTACTTTGAGATCAGAAAAAGCTTTACTTTTACATTCTACTGTAATTATACTGAAAACTGACAGCTTTATTATTATTACCACGCAAATACCTACCAAATAACCACCACCACAAGAGCAGTAGCTTTCTACAGGTTTAGATGCACCTGTAAAAACCTTGTGCTCACGCTAACTTAGGATGTTTAAAAAAGCTGGTGCTACCCATCTGAATTTTATAACAGTAACTGAGAAAGGTTTAGCTTCAGAGTAACTGCTCCTTTTCTCCCCAGAAGACTGAGCACCTTTCGTTGATTAGAAGGCCGCAAAGAGTCTATCTACCCTGACAGCAAAACTACGTACTTCAGTACTGTATAAGGAAATAAAGCTGGCTTCTATAGTTTGTTACATTTTAAGACTCTGTCTTAGATCCTAATTACAAAAATGGGTTCACATCAATCGACCGACCTACGGATTTAATTGAAGCGTCATTTTGCTTTGCGCAGAGGAACCATGATAAACAATAAAAATACAACGGCACATTCGCAGCACACACTGCTAGACTAATGGCATTAATGGCATTTATTGTGCAGATGCACATTCCTCACGCGTGGGAGGCATCGCTGCTTTGAGCTTTAACGTGTCAGGCACGGAGAAGCCCTGTACTTTCACGTCCGGCGGGGTATGCAATCTCTCCGAGTAAACCAGAAAGGCTGTACCGAGAGGGGAGGCAACACCCACCGGCCAAGCGACCCCGCTGCACCGGCACCTGCGGGCCGGCAGACCCGCTGGTCTCCCGAGACCACCGGCCTCGCCGTCACCCGGAGTAACCACGCTGTGTGCGGGGCCCAACTCCCGCTAATAGCCGGAGGGTGAAGCTCCCGCCCGGCGCACGCCAACAACCGGCGCCGCAGCGCGCTCCGTAACGGCTTTCCGAGCGCGGCTGAGCCCCCCGCCCCGTGCGAGGGAAGGGAGAGGAGAAGGAAAGGGCTCAGCCGGCGAGGGAACCGACGGAGGGAACACCGGCGCGAAGGCGTGCCCCAGCCTACCCGCCTCTGCTGCCGCGCACGAGGACGAGCTCCGGCGGCGGGATGTCTGCCCTACGCAGGCCCCCCTTTCCTACCCAAGGCGCGGCGCAAGAGCATCACACACGTCGGGCCCATCCGCTTCGTAGCACCACCGCTGCCAGCCTTCTGGTGCGACGGCCTCTTCCCCTTTTTTTCCCCGCCAGTGGTCTCGCCCTGCGGCCCTCTTCCCCCCCGCGGCTCCGCGCAGGTGGTTTTGTCGAAAACAACCGCGGCTGCCAAGGAAACAGCACAAGGAGCGCATGCGCGAGGGATCGGAGTGAGGGGAGGGAGGAACGAAGGCGCTGCTAGCCTGCCGGGACGGTTTCGGCGGCGCACCCTGCCGTATTTTCCGGCTGGAAAGTATCGGCAGCGGGCATGCGTGATCGAGCCATGCGGCGGGGGAGAGGGTGCCCGCCCAGTGCGGGCAGTGCGGTGCGGATGAGGCAGGCACCCTGAGGCAGCGACAAATCCGTCCTTGTGCACATACGCGACACGGGCTCGCCTTACGGCGCTTCTCTGCGCTAGTGGGGGCAGGAGGCGGCTGCGTTCGGTCCGGGCGCCCTGAGGTGGCGGCGGCGGCGGCGGCGGCGGCGGCGACGACGGGTCTGGGCCTAAACCTAGACCTCGTGTTGGAAAGAGATGCCTGCGCTGGCGCTCTTGCCAGCCTGCGTTTGCCTGTTGTCGCCCTCCCCTGTCGGCGGCTTGTGAGGACAACCCGCCGCCGGGCCCGCCACCCAGTGCGATTGGCGGTGTCTGGCGGAGCTGTGGGGGTAGGAGCCAAGAAGCAGAAAGCAGCGTGCGGGGGTAGCCATCCCCGCGTTGGCTGGCGCGCGCCTGTTCTCGCCTCGCCTACCCGGCGACAGCGTGAAATGAGAGAGGTCTACTGACACCAAAGCGGTGTGCGGTACACGACAGGCAGCTAGGACAGCGAGTTCCGTAAAACACACGAATCTCGGTGCTTGGGTGGGCAAACTGAAAACATGGGTTGGAACTTAGTAAAAAAGACACTGAAAAGCTTTAGAAATTGGGGAGCCCTTCAGGGATACTGTAGCATCCATTTAGGAAAAAAAGGTCGTAAGTAC